CTGGATCAAGTTGAGTCAGTCAAGATTTGTGTTAATATTCCTGGCTCTAATTCCTGCCAATGTTCTATTTGTCGCCGAGCAGCCACAACTTGCAACCTGCTGGCAGTTTCCATTTGGGAACCGGAACAATGGAAGTACTTGGACACTTATCCAAGGACGATTTCCTTTCCCCCTGCTGAGCAGGATGGGACATGTACGAGTGGTTCCTTCGAATCCTCAGTATGAATGGGAAATTCCGTTTTGGCTGGCGAGAACATGGTGGAGGACAGGAATGTTAAGGATAATGGCGATGTGTTTGAGATGCAACAATGGACTTTTAATCTCTCTTCCCCTCGACTTCGAGGACAGAATTGTAGAGATGGAGGATCTCTCCGAAAATCCATACTTATAAAATCTTCTAAAAAGAAGAATCACCCTATGTCCTTATTTCAATTTCACGAATCAGTGCCAGAAATACCTGTTGTAAAATCGTTTCGTATAAAGCATAATCCAGACATCGAATATGATCCAAACGAATCTGCCTCTGGGTATTTACCCATGCAATTCGATGGTCATGCTTTCGATTCTTATGACTGTTACCCTTTGGGTGTACCATTGTCATATGCGAATCTCAAAAAGAACCTACCAAAGGGTGAGTCATTATGGATGTTGGATTCTGGAGCATCACACCATGTGACTCCATTTAAAACTGATTTCTTGACCTATCAAGAATTTAAAAATCCACCTTTGGCCTCTACTGCAGGCACTAAAAAGGTTCAATTACTCAGTCAAGGAACAGTGGTTATTCGCCTGGAAAATGGCAGTAACCTACCACTGCATAATGTTGTTTACAGTCCTTCGTTTTCAAAGCGACTATGTTCACGAAATGTGCTCCTAAATAACGGATATCGGAGCACTGCGACACTTAGTAGCGAGACTATCAGAGCACCAAATGGCCGGATTGTCCTTGAAGCAAAAGTAGCTTCACCGACTTCACCTCTTCATTGGTTTGTGGGCGTACCGCTTCCACCTACCACTGCTTTTGGGGTCCTTTGCCCTTTGGTCAAGGAAACACAAGAGTCTCTTTGGCATAATCGCATGTGTCATCCTGCACAGGCAGTTCTCAGACACATTCGCAGATTAGGTCTAAATCAAGATATACAAATACAGGGGGAGACTACCTCTTGCAAAGGTTGCGCACAAGGCAAACTTTCTTCTGAAGCCTTTAAACCTTCTTGGAAACGAGCAACTAAACCACTCGAGTTGGTTCATGCTGACCTACTCGAACTACCTGTTGAATCATACTTTCGGTCCAAATACATCCTTACCCTCTTGGATGATTATTCATCCTACAGTTTTTGTCTCTACCTTCGCAATAAATCCGACACTTATACTGCTTTCGCCAATTGGATGGTGTCTATGCAAAATACTACTGGACATCATTTACTTGCGCTCCGTTCGGATCAAGGGGGAGAGTTTATGGGTTCTACTTTCAAAGTGCTCCTTTCTTCGCGCGGAATTACCCATCAATTACCAATTGCAGACCAGCCACAGCAAAATGGTCATGCAGAACGCTTTAATCGGACCATTTCCGAAAAAGCTGGGACCATTCGACATCATGCTTGCGTTCCAAAACGCTTCTGGAATTTTGCTTTTGATTGTGCACTACATGTGTACAACAGAACTCCTCTCAAGAGGATTCAATTCAAGACTCCAGTCGAACTTTTCTTAGGAAAAATCCCGGACATCACCTATTTCCACACCTTTGGCTGTAAAGCTTTTGTATGGGTTCCTAAAGAACAGAGAAAAGATAAATTGGAACCACATGCAGTCGAAATGATTTTCTTAGGCTACGAGCCTAACACAAAAGGATATTGGTTCTTAAATGGACAAAAGATTATTCTTTCTTGCACTGCAAAATTTGTAGAAGACTCTTTTCCTTTCTGCTCTGGTCATTCAAAATCCGAAACCTTTGACCCCGATACCAAAGACAACCATGAATCATCTGTTTCCGATACAGAAAGCCTACATTCACTCCCAGATCCTGATCAGATCCAACCGCCGACTCATCACCGGCAACCACCTCGTCCTAATACTCCACCACAACAACAAAACCCACAGCAGAGAGCTGCAGACCAGCCTAGAGCTCAATCACAAAGAAGAGCACCTGCTGCTGTACCACCAGTCGACCCTCATCATCTTAGGCATCCTCATCAACCAGAATTTATTCAAGGAGACTTGCGTAATGTTCACAGAGCTCAACCTGCCAATGACAGAGAACCTCGTCTGAAGCGTCGTTTTATACCAGTATCTCGTCCTGGGAATATCTATGGAGATAGACCTCCTGTTCAAATTGAACAAGATATTCAACAAAATCGGGATCAAGCACAACAGTGGATTCGTAATGCTGAGCAACATGCTCAACAAACCAGAGAGTTTATCAGGTCACAAGCAGAAGAGAGAAGACCTCCTTCACCAAGGTTACCTCCTACACTTGTTCCTCCTGAAGTTCCTCGTCAGTGGACTGAACATCCACAAGGAACCACACCTCCATCTCCTGGGTCACCTCTTACTCCACTTCCGGATACTCCTTTGTCACCTAAAGGCATGCCAGACCAACAATTGGAAATGCATCCTTTCGAGTTTGCATTGGCTGCCAGAATTAAAGAATCTCCAGAACATTACAAAGATGTGCTGAAGTTATCTCCCGATTTGCAAAAGAAGTGGTTTGACGCTATGAAAGACGAATTAAAGTCTATTGAAGAAAGACAAGTATGGACCTTGGTGGATCCTCCTAAAAATCGGAAACCTGTAAAGTATCGATGGGTTTTCGCTATTAAAAGCGATGGTCGTTATAAAGCTCGTCTTGTGGCTAAAGGCTTTACACAAGAATTTGGTACTGACTTTGAAGACACCTTCTCTCCAGTGGCTCAATTTGAAACAGTTCGAATCTTACTTGCTTTTGCTGCCCAAAGAAACTGGGACACAGAAGCCCTGGATGTTAAAACAGCCTTCTTATATGGCAATCTCAATGAAGAAATTTATATGGAACAACCAGAAGGTTTCAAAGTTTCGGGTCAAGAACACAAGGTTTATCAGTTGCTTAGAGCCCTCTATGGCTTAAAGCAAGCTGCATTGGCATGGAATAAAGCCCTTCATCAATCACTACTAGCAATGGGCTATATTCGTTCAAAAGTGGATGCTGGGATCTATATCCATTCTTCCAAAGCTGGAATCATCATTTTTCTTGTCTATGTCGACGATGGACTCTTTCTAGGATCGGACAAACGTCTTCTCAAAGCCAAGAAAGAACAATTCATGAAGAAATGGGAATCCAGAGATCTTGGTGAAGTCAGGGAATACCTTGGCATTCAAATTCACCGAGATAGATCGAAGAAAGAAGTTTATCTCGATCAAATACCTTATGTCAAAAAGGTTATCAAAAGGTTCAACATGAAGACTGCTCGAAATGTTCACACTCCATTACCCTCTGGATATCAACTGGAAAAAGCACCATCAGATTATCAAGCCACATCTTCTCTTCGATCACAGTACCAATCAATCATAGGGTCATTACTTTATTTGGCTCTTGGTACTCATCCTGACATTGCCTATGCGGTTATTTGCATGTCTCAATATATGGCAAATCCAACCGAAGATCACCGAAATAAAGCCTTGCATATAGTTTGCTATATTGCATCTACTCCAAAAATGGCTTTATACTATTCGGGACTAGAATCTCGAATCTATGGCTTCACGGATTCTGATTGGGCTTCTAATAAAGACACTCGTCATTCCACAACCAGTTATGCCATGTTTATTGGCAATTCCCTCATTTCTTGGCAATCTAGAAAACAGAAGACAATCGCACTTTCCTCCACTGAAGCCGAGTATATGGCTTTATGCGATGCTGCCAGACAACTCAAATGGCTCTCAATGCTATTTGATGAACTTAAACTCAAGACCGAGAAAACAATTCTCTACTGCGATAATATGGGAGCTCGCTTTATAGCAGAGAATCCTGTATCGGATGGTCATTCCAAACATATCAACGTCCAATGGCACTTCATTCGTGAATGTGTTCAAGATAATTTGTTCAGTATTGAATATGTTCAAACTGACAAACAAAAAGCAGACGGTCTTACAAAATTGTTAACTTGGCAGAAGTTTGAAACTAATTGCTCATCAATGGGTCTTGTGACTTTACCATTTTAGAGCGAGGGGGAGTGTTGGAAATATTGTTAATAGTTCCGACATCTAGATTGCTCCAGACTTACATGTGCATCAACACGTTGTTCATCACATGACGTTCCTTAGCAATCAGCTCCACAATGATGTCATTCTGACATCATATTATACATCATATTCCATGACCTTCTGCACTATTCTTTACTATACTGAGTAGTAGTTTCCTTTTATGCTACTGGTCCGTGTGTACCTACTCATGTATATAAACTCGAGGATTTCTTCCTCATATCCTAAGGAAGTGAATCCCACATTCATTCTTCACTTGTCTACTCAACAACTGAGCCCCTCAACTTCAAGTACTTCAAACGCTACTACTGTTCTGAATAAAGGCAAGTGTTCTTGCCATTGCTCTTCGTCCTTTCCGTTCCCCTGCGCAATACCCCCTGCATCAGTGTTCATTCCCAATATATAAGGTATCACCGGCACCCTGGCTTACAATCAATCAATCAGCCAAATCCCTCTTGCCCACGCTGAGTCGGCCAAACTTCTCACAGCGATTCTTCATTTTGGACAATTGCCGAGATCCCGTGCAAAAGTTTTGGCTGAGCGCTTGCGAAGGAAGGACATGTCTTACCCGTGATGTATTTAAACTGCCACGATGAAGGAGCCCCAGGCAGCATCTTTCCATCGCCCATCGACGACGCCGACAATTAAACGATAACGATATCCTGGGCGTCCTTCCAGAACATGCCCACCAATGTCTTCCGCGTCCCACCCGCGTCAGAGAGACTCCCGTTCGACACCTGCACATTCTTTGTGTACATACTACCTCCATGTCTTGCTTATCATGTCGTCGCACTCTTGGTCATTCTCCCCGGAACCCGTATGCTGCGTATAGCATAGTGGCCACTCATTGCTCTCTTGGCTTTTCGGGCTGCCATGTACGTAGATCTTACAGGTGGGAATCCTCAGTGGACGTTTTTGAATGTTGATTTTGCGGTATGAGCGATCTTCTCTCCCTTCACATCATGTTTACTATGTTTACTCTGACCGACATCATCTTTGGGTCTGATGTTGGATCTATTAATATAGCTCGTCATGTTCACCTTCGTCATCCGTATGCTGGAATGGACGTTCCAAAAGGACCCACTCAAACGGCACCTCCGACCTTCTGGTTCCTCCCCATCCATTCTCATGGATGCACTTGACCTCTCCACCAACATGCGTGGTGTCGGTTGGATCTGGTCCAAGAGCTTCCATTTCCCTCCTGACAAATGCCCCACTTCATGCCCATGGTTCATAATATACGTCTTCCTCTCCGCTTTGTTCCACAGTTTCATTTGTGGTGTAATTCAGCTTGCCATACGAGCTTTTTTGCCTGAGACTTTCACCGTCCTAAGTGGAGGCACTATCTTTGACCCCACACTTCCCCCTCTGATCCGATACATCCGATCCAGTGTCCTTTCTATCCTCGTCGGATTCTCCATCTACACACTCATGCAAACAATCTATAACCTCGGCACATTCTTCAGCGTCGCTGTGTTGCAGCAAGACCCTGCACAGTGGCCTCCTGTATTCTACGAACCATGGAATGCGGACTCGTTGCGCGATTTTTGGGGCTATAGATGGCATCATTTATTGAGGCGAACATTTATTGTGGTGGGCGGGTGGTCTTTGGGGTCTTTATTCGGATATGTGAGATTCGTAGCTGGAACCTTCATTGGATCGGGGATTTATCACAACATTGTGGTCATTATGATCAATCAGAACGTCGAGTGGTGGTGCATGACCCTCTCGTTCGGAATGATGGGTGTCAGCGTCATTCTCGAGCTCATGTTCACATGGATGGCGGGAAGGCGAGTGAGTGGGTGGATGGGGAGAGCATGGATGACGGCTTGGTTGTTGGTATGGGGGAATGTCATGGTCGATGGACTTGCGCGAGCGGGGATGTTTGCATCGGCGGGCGCGTTTGGTACTGCGGCTCCTGTGAGGGGCATCGTGGAGCACTACACAACAGCCTTCGATAGATGGCTGAGGGCGTGTGGATCGTAGTATGCCTCTATCAGATGTCGCACGATATTTTCTTGCTTTCCGGACAAGCACGACCTGTCTACAAACCTAGGATCGGCGTACCCGTGACGAAGGCTGCCCCTCTCTGTGTATGAGAATGTAACACCCAGAAACTGGATAACGGGTGGCTGTGCCTCAAGTGTTCCACCTCGTGAATATGCAATATACGCAGGTATACAGGTATGTTGTGCCCTGTCCCCCGCCAAAACCGACATCGACTTAGAGCCCATGACATGACTTTTACACCCTCCATCGAGTCAGCTTTACCATGAACCTAGTGTCGTATCTTGTCGACTCTCCTTTGAGCTCCCGTGAAACTTGAGTTCAGTAGGGAAGTGACTGCAACTCCTCCAAGTGTCTCTGTCTCTCAGATGAGGATGACTTTGAGGTGAGTTCATTTTATGAATTCATTATATTCCTATAAATCAAGACTACCAGGTTCTCCAGGTGCACGAGCATTCACCTTCACCTGTGTCTCCCAATAGCATGCCTGAGGAGATGCATGAAGACTTTCCCCCTCCTGGCTCTCCCCATAATTCACCTGGACAGATACATGAAGGCTTTCCCCCTCCTGGCTCTCCCCATAATTCACCTGGGCAGATGCATGAAGACTTTCCCCCTCCCAACCCACAGAGAAATTTTCTCATCAATCTTGACTTGAACAAACTTGCAGATTTTGCCTCTACAAATCCCAAGCATGCATGAAGCATGGATTTCATCCAGTGGATTTGGAATGCTTCACTTGGTGATGGGATGGGGCTTGGAGGAGAGTCTGTTGACCAGCTCTGCAATCCTCTGACAGATGTCCTCAAACTCATTGATCCTTGTCAAAAGCTTGCCATCCAAATCTTCATTGCTCTTGAGCACTCATTGGAGTCTGTGTATGAGAAGATATGCATTGGCATCCATGCCTGTTTTCCAGGCTCTGAACTTCCCTCATTCTACCAGGTCAAATGCCTCCTTGTGGACCTAACCAGAGTCATGTCTATCATCAACCATATGTATATCAACTCATGCACCACATTTGTTGGTCCCTATGCCCATCTTGACACCTGCCCTGAATGTGATGAGCTGCACTATGACCAAGTTTGACAGAACAGAGCAGTCAAACACCCTCATGCCATCTTCCACACCATTCCTATTGGTCCCCAACCCCAGGCCCTCTGGTGATACCCTGACACTGCTAACAACATGTGTTACTGCAAGGAAAAAAGTCAGCAAGTGTATGATGACAGCTTCTGTGGGAGTGCATATATCCATGGTATCTGTGATGGTACCATCACTCCTGATGACACTCTTCTTATGATATCCATCAACAGTGCTCAACTCTTTGAATCCAAGGAATTGGATTGTTGGATATATATCTGGATCATTCTCAACCTCTCACCTGATCATTGCTACAAGAAGAAGCATGTCCTTCCTGGCACAATCATCCCTGGCCCCAAAAAAACCAAAGTTCATTGAGTCCTTCCTGTTGCCAGGTTTTCATCACCTCTCTGCCTTGCAATGTGAGGGTATCAAGATATGGGATTCTGCTCACAATTGTGGCTTCACTTCTCATCTATACCTATTCCTTGCATGTGCTGATGGTCCCAGTCTGCTCATGATGAGCAATTTTGTTGGACACCAAGGTAAAAATAGGTGTCACATGCATTGTCCTCTCAAAGGTCATTGGAAGCCTGGTGCTTCTCAGTACTACCCTGTTCTACTCAAACCCAATAACTATGACATCACTGGTTGTAACCATGGTGATGTCAATGTCTATAATGTCAGACCAAGCACCTCTGCACACTATGTTGTACAACTGCATGCCATCCTTCACTCTTGGAATCAGAAAGAATATGAAGGATGATGCCTTGAGACTGGGATTGTTGGCCCCAGCATTCTTCTTGGCCTGCAGCCACACCTTGTCCTTGGTATCCCTGAATGTTTCTCATCAGAAATGATGCACTTGAGCAGTGCAAACATGGCTGCACTATAGCTTGACTTGTGGAGAGGTACCATTGAATGTGTGCCAACTGATAACAAGACAACATGGTGTTGGGCCATTCTAAAGGATCAGTGCAGGTGGGAAGAACATGGGTGCACACTCAGTGCTTGCAAGCCCTACCTCCCAGGTTCATTTGATGTCACCCCTCATGATCCCAGCCTTTATGCAAACTCCTGGTACAAAGTCAATGAGTACATCACTTGGATTTAATCTCTCTGTCCAGCACTTTTATTTCAGGTTTTACCCAGGATATCTGGCACAACTTCTGTAAGTTTGTTGCAGGCTTCTGCATCATGGGTCAATACAGTATCACTCCAGTGTGTCATGACGATGACACCAGCATAAGCCCCTAACATCTACTCTGCCCTCTTCCACACCCTGGGAACCTTTCTCTGCCCTCTTCTGACACACTCCCATGCTCTTCCAACCCTCCCAACACATCTCCACACCTCTCCAAGGTCCCCTGTCCATGCTCTGACCAACTCTGCTCAACTCCACCCTCAGGCTGGTCATGTGGAGGCCATACCTTCATCTGTGCCTCCTCCAAGGCCTTGGTCAGCTCAGTGGGCTGTCAGACTTGTGCCACTGCATTCCAGATAGGGTTCTGCCCTCATGTCAGTTGTTCTCCATTCTTCTGCTCCTTTGGTATTTACCCCCTCTCCCTTGTTGTAGTAGTTTCCTTGTCTCAGTCAAGGTCCCTGTCATCCCTATCCTCTATCCCTTGTGTCAGAGGGACTGCTAACCTGTTATATGCTTATTGGTTTGCATTCTGCACTGCACTGCCCTTGGCCTACATCATATATAAGGCCACATAGTGCTCCAATGTAATCAGTACAAGTATCAAATAAAGTCCCCACTTCCAACTCCCTCTGAGTCTGCTCTACCTCTGAAATATGAGGGCTAAGCTCACACAAGGGGGAAGCACACTAGCTGAACCCAACACCCTCTTATCTGACCTCTGCCTCTGACCTCTGCCTCTGAAACTTTCCTTTGTACCCCTCTGCTCACTGTTTGTTGTATACAGTGAGGGACAACAGTGTTGCAATGTTTGTGAGGTGTGACTTGCTGCTGATGTAGCTTGGGCTATTCTGCACAGATAATCATGATACCTATACAATTGGAAAGGGGTGACTCTAAGCTTTCCAGAGAACTAAGGTTCAGTCCAAACAAAGCAATACATGCTGAGATACACCCTATTCTTTCTGAAAAGTGCATTGCAATGCTTTTGTCCCTGACTGGTGAAATAGTGAAAAGTGACCTTTTGATGGGATTGAGGGCATGAAGGATGGGAAAATATGATTACATAATAAACCACATGATCTTCCAGATGATTTGTTGGCATGTAAACAATGGCAAACATTGGACTTGTACCATTAACCCTTTCTCTTTTACCACAACTCATGAAATCATCTCTCTAGCTCACATGGTCATTTTCTCAAGGAATTCTTATCAAATACTGGTTTCCACCACAGTACCATCAGTATAACATGCTCTCAGAACCATCAGTCCCCTAAAAAACCTGCTTTCAGTCATTCCCTGGACTGTTCTCCCCCTCCCCCCCCCCCATGCCTAATGTGTTCTGGGACTAGTCAGTAGTTGGAAGGCTGAAAATGTTATGGAAGTCAATCTGGCACTTCATAACATGATGGACAAACTAACCCCCTCTCAATCAATGCATTTCTGGCACAGGAACACTGGTATGGAAGTTGGGGTGAGGCAAAACCTTCTTGTGCTCTGAGCACCATAAGAGGGTTCACTAGATCTTGCTCTGATCTGAACTGTAGATGACTGGGGAAGGAGTATGTGGTCATATGTGACCAAAGGCAATGTTCAGGGCCAGATGGAAGCACAGGATTCTGCTCCATAGCAGTTCAGTAGCATATCCTTCTGATGACACCCAGGGGTAAAGAGGATTTTGTCTTGTCCTAACTTCCATACCACTGTCCCTGTTCCAGAAATGCATTGATTGAGAGGGGGTTAGTTTGTCCATCATGTTATGAAGTGCCAGATTGACTTCCATAACATTTTCAGCCTTCCAACTACTGACTAGTCCCAGAACACATTAGGCATGGGGGGGGGGAGGGGGAGAACAGTCCAGGGAATGACTGAAAGCAGGTTTTTTAGGGGACTGATGGTTCTGAGAGCATGTTATACTGATGGTACTGTGGTGGAAACCAGTATTTGATAAGAATTCCTTGAGAAAATGACCATGTGAGCTAGAGAGATGATTTCATGAGTTGTGGTAAAAGAGAAAGGGTTAATGGTACAAGTCCAATGTTTGCCATTGTTTACATGCCAACAAATCATCTGGAAGATCATGTGGTTTATTATGTAATCATATTTTCCCATCCTTCATGCCCTCAATCCCATCAAAAGGTCACTTTTCACTATTTCACCAGTCAGGGACAAAAGCATTGCAATGCACTTTTCAGAAAGAATAGGGTGTATCTCAGCATGTATTGCTTTGTTTGGACTGAACCTTAGTTCTCTGGAAAGCTTAGAGTCACCCCTTTCCAATTGTATAGGTATCATGATTATCTGTGCAGAATAGCCCAAGCTACATCAGCAGCAAGTCACACCTCACAAACATTGCAACACTTTTGTCCCTCACTGTATACAACAAACAGTGAGCAGAGGGGTACAGAGGAAAGTTTCAGAGGCAGAGGTCAGAGTCAGAGGTCAGAGGTCAGAGGTCAGATAAGAGGGTGTTGGGTTCAGCAAGTCACATCTCACAAACATTGCAATGCTTTTGTCCCTCACTGTACCTGTAGGCAACTACAGGGAGTCAGTAAGTAGAATACTGCTAATGAATGGTAATCTTACCCTCTGTAGTGAACAATCTACTGAGGGAACAGTGTAATGACTGTGCAGTAAGTGCGCTCTAATGGCTTATGTAAGCAGTCAAACATCGCACCAAAGTAAGCAGAAACACAGGGGAGAATATATCTCCAACATGCTCAACTGCAAGAAGCTCAGTTCCATTGTCTTCAGTGACAAGGCTAAACAGAAACAGTTGAACTCCATCATGCACCCTGCTGTAATGCACATGATCCTGTGGGATATACTTGGGTGCTAGATGCAAAGAGAATGTATGTGGGTCATCAATGTTCTGCTTCTCATTGAGGGCAGTCTGTGGAGATGGATGGGCTGTATGGTCATGGTGTATTGGTGGGTACATCATACATTTTCCTTATGCCTCTTCACACATAGTGCACACTGTATCCAGCTCCACAGAGATTCAGATCCATTGCCTCATGGACCATGACAAATGCACTCATACTGAATCCAAAGCCCAACTCAGTTCTCAGCTACTGATAACATCCAAAATTGCCTATGCAGACATTGTCATTGATAATTCTGGATCATATTCTGGGCTGGAGGACCAGGTTCAACTATGCTTGAACCAGTTGGAGCACATGGTTGGTTGAACATTGGTCATTAGTTGGCTCTTCCCTCCTTTTGGGCTGTTGCCTGTTGCCTGGCCACTCCTGGTGTGTCTAGTGTTGCACACTAAGCAGATGGGCAAAATGGGGCCAAGGAACAGTAGATGAGAAGTGGAGTGTCATGGCCTTATGCTACTTACCAACAACAGGCCTAGTGTTTGTCAACATCAGCTTCCCAGAAGGTGGTTCAGAATTCCCCCTTGTGTACTGGTAATGAAGGGTAGGACCTGCAGTTACTGATGTGTCAGTGTTGTTGCACAGTATGCCATCCAGTCTACACCAAGTTGATTAGGTAATATGTTAGGTACTTAGTTTACACTTTGTCTTACCTTACACCTCAGACTTCATCATTTCAAGTCTGAGTTCTGTGTCTAGGCTAACTTGAGTAGCCTTCTGCTCTCACCCTACCCACAAAAGGTTATGAGCCCTGAGCTCAAAGCACTCTAGTTATACAGCTTTTCAACCTACAAACTCTACTTACAAGTCTCAAGCATCTTCCAGAATGAGTAACTCTACCAATGCACCACCCTGACATCCTGTCACTAGAAAATGATGGCTCTAACTTCCACACCTGGAAGTATAGAGTTGGGATGGTACTTGACATTCATGGCCTCAAGGAAGTTGTTGACAGAAAAGCTACAACTGCTCCTGACCCAAGA